TCGGTTTCTTCACGATCCATAAAATTTACTGATTTTTACATCAAATCACGTCGAGTAATTACGTTTAGGGTATTTCTTCCCGTTACACCATACGTATTGTTGACACATCGCGGGAATTTCGATGATTGTTGAACATGTGTCTGCCGAAAACTTACTGAGCTGAAGGAGACTATCATTTAAGATTGTACACTGTGCAACACATTCAGGCCAGTATGTCTGGTTGACAGTTACCTGATTATTAGCTTCCAACATTCCTCCTAGTTCTTCTCTTTCCTGTTTCTCCAATTTTCTGCTCACTGACCTGGCAGCCTCTATTTAGTGGTCTTCTTCCGTCTCTTCTTCATTTGTTATTGTCCTTGTAGCTTACCGCGAGACATCAAACACAAATCATATACGGCACATTATTCGCCCTATTAACGTCGCTCCCGCCAGTAATACCCCTTTTCTTGGGGGCTGTCCCGACTAGTCCCTTGGGTCTGCACTTACCGTCCCTAGAAACTAGAACTAAGAATAGTCTTAAGAGACTCAAACGATAGTGAAACCATGAATTTTGTCTATTTCATTAAATAGTCATGCACTGAGGGATTATAAGTACAACTGCTACTACTTTTCTATCGGAATGACAACGTAAATTGAGATATAATCTCCATTAAATCAAGACAGTCTCACACATTTATTTGGTTGGTGACGATATTAGTGTGAGAATCCTGGTAACAAAGACTGAATACCATAACTTTACTCGTTGATAATCAGGCTTTGCGTATTTAGTACTTGTAATAGTCTTAGGTAAAGAACCATCTGAAAACTTCACTGACAATGATCTGATGTTACGTTAATTCGGTTTCGAGGGACGTCCAGTTCTTTGGATTTAGACTAATCACGATCATTTACGGCTTCTAAATTTGCCTACTCTACGCCTTATTTCTCTAAGGTGGTTATGCATTCGGAGCTAATTACCTGGTCAGGACCCCGTACATCCTCCTCTTCCACTTTCGAAAATTAAAAATAGTAAGAAAAAGTTCCTCGTTGCTAGATTAAAATAAGCGTCGCGTATGCATCGTGATAGTTGTTTAGTACTTAGTAACCCCACCACATGTAAAACTATCAAAGGTAGGGGATGTAGTCTGTACGATAGCTCAATCATAAACACCTTAGGAAGGAATTTAAACGCGATATCGTGATTTCTACCAAGACGACGTCCTCGAAAAACCGTTACGTAAACATCAGTCATTGTCATTAAGGTTTTAATGATTCTTACCAGCCACATTTCGTACTAATACGCCAAGCTGATTATCAACGGTTTAGTTATGTATTCAGTCTTGTTCCAGTTCTCCACTATATCGTTCACCCCGGTGAAAGTAACTCAAAAGTAACTCAAAAGTAACTCAAAAGTAGTGTAACTCATTACATTTCAGAGACAGTAATATTGTAATGTAACTTATTTCTTAAAGGTCCCAATTTCATGGCCATTTCTACTGATCATAATTCCATTGTTGAGGTCTACTAGAATAGATTTATATTGTGCAATTTTCCAAACTCACATTGGTTTCTCATACAGCCTCTCTGTAAAGTATGTGTATTCACTCTCTGTCCTAAACGGCTTGTTGGAGCTCCTGCCCCTCCCCTCCCTGTGAGCCCAGTGGCCGTCTGTGATACAGTGAGACATAGCGAAACCCAGCCCGAAACCAGCCCGAGCACACAAACACACAAACCCGCAGCCTCGCCGCGTCCCGCCGTCTCAGGGAGGAGAAATCGATGGAGCTGCAGCGGAGAAAAAATTGAGTGTGTGTGATGCTGAACGCCTCCAACAAGGCATTCTGGGGCAGCATAGACAGGTCTTTTCTGTGTTAGAGTTTTACTCGCTACAGGGTGTACTTTGATGGTTTGTGACTGCAGACCGTTTACATGCAGAAAAAGCTACATAACACACAAGGGGACGGGTAATAACCGGAAAAGCATGACATGGGACCTTTAACAAAGACAGTAATATGTACTGTATTACATTTTGGAAGTAACTTTCCCAACACTGTTAAAGATTAATAGGCTTACAGATGATTGGAGCTGGACAGTTGGAGGGCTGCAGACTGGGGTGCAAAGTGTTGTGGAGTAACAGAAGGGAAGTCAGTCAGGCCTCTAGATTTCAAATGTACTTATACACTACATGTGATTGTGCAATAATAGCTGTGATGATCCAACCATGTTCTGCCTGTCTTTCATGGGTAGCTTTTGAATGCATTCCATTTCTAAGTTCTTATGGTATACAGAAATGAGGATTTACTGCCACAGATATACTGTATTAGGTGCTGCTCAACAAGGTTCAGACTCAGACTGTTACTTCTCTGCTTTCTTCTCTTATATGGGCCTGCTTTAATTCTCTATGTGGTGTCTTCTAATAAGAAGGGTGACGGTCAGGTACTACGTTTCTTTCAAACCTCTAATCTACTCCTCCAGTAGTGCTGTATGTCCTTTGAGAGGGACTTGATCTGAAGAGTTATGCAGGCATCGTGGTGGAACTTGGTCATCAGACTCAAGTGAAACTCCATAGTCACTCAGGTTTCCGTAAAGCTGCTTCTTTCCCTTCGCGGTGATGATGGAGTTTTATCACAGTGTGGAAGCGAGCTGCTCCATGTGTGCCACCCGTCTTCAGGCGCCGGTGCTTGGAGCCCACCCATCTACGATCTCAGCCTTTTTTTCCTTTTCCCGACTGCACAACTATGATGTTTTCTGATAGCATCTTGCACAGTTGGGATCCAATTGTTGTAACCAAATCTGCCATCAGTCAAAAAAATACACGCCTGTCAGAGAACTCAAAATGGCATCTGGGTTAATTGCTTTTACAGTAGGTTGCTCAAGGAACCCATTTTGCCATGATAACACACAATAAGACTTACAGTGTGCAAACAATACGAACGTCACTCGTACACTGAAGATAATTAAAACATAACTTTTTTAAATATTAAAGGACCCATGTCATGGTCATTTCCACTGATCATAATTCCATTGTTGAGGTATACTAAAATAGAAAAATACTGTGCAATACAGCATCTCTGTAAAGTATGTGTATTCAGCAGTATTCACTTTCTCCACTAAACGGCTCGCTGCAGCTCTCCCCCCCCCCCCCCCCCCCCCTCCCTGTGAGCCCATTGTGCTCTGATTGGTCGGTAAGTTGTGAATCGCGCTGAGCTCCTTGGAGGTGAGATTTCCTTGTTTAGCGATACATAGCCAAACACAGCCAAACTCAACCTGAACACACACAAAGTCACAGCCGAATTAAAAACAATAAGTGTGGCTTGATATTGAGTAAGAAAAAGGTTTATAGGTTGATAAACGCTGTGAGAAAATGGGTCTGCAGAGAGATCCGCGAACCCAACTGTCTGCTTGCAGCAGGGAGCAGAAATCAGCAGAGCTGCCTGCACTGAGTGTGTGTGTGGATTGGTCAATTTGGACCAATCAGCGGGGGCTTAACGTAACGGCTCCGCGGACGTAACGTAACGGCTCCACGGATTGGCCCATTTAGTTCCGGGTACGTGCTTTCGTAAGCACGTACCCGGAAGAATCAAATGGATGATGACGTTTCAACAACGAGGCCTTTTGTGGAGGTATTTTCTGTGTTAGAGTTTTACTAGCTACAGGGTGTACTTTAAGGGTTTTGGCTCTGCAGACCGTTTACATGCATACAAACCTTCATAACACACAAGGGGACGGGTAATAACCGGAAAAGCATGACATGGGAGCTTTAAACCATTTGTTTGTTTATTATAGTACTGGATGATTCAAGCATCTGCTAATTACACCTTTCTTTCTGCACAGACACCGCCCGCAATCCAGAGTTCATGGAGATGCACAGTGGAACTACTGACCCTCCTCTTTGCCTCATGATTGGCTACACTGACGGGATGCAGCTCTGGAGCGTATCTGTAAGTCACTCACCTCATTTGCCTGTAATGCTTCAACCTTTTTACATTTTCAAACAGGAGTCTTTGTGCCATAACGTTTCATTTCAAGCACAAATTCAGATGGATATGTGTAACAGTCAGTCATTTTGCTTTTCTTTTTAAGTAATAAGTTACATAACGATATTTTGCCATAGCTATATTGTACCCCACTAAAAAGGTGATAACGATTTTAAAAGTGAATGCAAAGTCACTATGACAAAAACAGTAGATATAGTTCCAGAAATAGTTTTCATTGTGCCATCAATAAAATATGTGAAAAACAGGCCTGTTTAGGACTGGTGAAGCTTAACTCTACTCCTCTTCAATGTTACCAAACTGAAAAACTAACCTCAATGAAGATGATGAACAACTTTTTTTACTTTATGTCTCGAGAGACAGTCTTTAAAATATATTGGGTAATGGAACATTGTGTATACATAATGTCCATACTGAGGTCAGTCAAACCCAAGTCAAATGATATCCAATGTCTTAAGAAAGGTTAAGAAAAAAGCAAACAGGAAAATATGTACTTCTTTGTGTAGTGGAATGAATCAGTCAGAACAACCCTACTGATTGATCTACAAATTCGGCTACTCTGATTTAATGGATTTCACCCCATTGATCAAGTTTATTATTATTTTTATCCCACACATCTAGGATGTGTGCTACTGTATAAGTTAACCATGTCACTAGTTTTACACATGAAAAATATTAACTTTCCATGCTGTAGTCAAAGCATTTTCTTGAGATGCTCTCAAATGAAACACAAACCCAAATGCTAAAGCTAAACAATGAAATATGCTGATAAGGGGTATCTAGAAAAAATTAAATAGTTGTTTTTATCATTTGATATTAACCAGTTATCAATGCTTGGTTTGGCTCTTTTCCCTGTTTAAATTCAACACTGTGTTGTAGTACATACCTTGTCCACTAGGTAGCGACGTTGACCATGTAACACAGTATTTGGTTCCAACAGTAGCACTAGCTTCTACTCAGAGCTGCAAAATGTGCCAAGATCTAAAGGTCGTAGAGAAAACAAACGATGAGTAAAGATGCACATAATGAAGATTTGGTGTGTAGTGGGCAGCGATTGATAGGTCATACATCTATCATTGGCAGCCAGATGCAGCCAATCAAAACGTTTATTTTTAGTTAAGCTTAATGGGAATTAAAAATAAATAAGTGAGTCTGACGTTTTAGCAACTCTCTCTCTCTCTTTATATATATATATATATATATATATATGTATGTATATACTGTACATATATAATGTCAACAAATCAACGCATTAAATTAACGCAAATCAAGGCATAGAAAAGTATTTAATGTTTATGTTATTCATCAATGTACCAATGTTACTAAGTTGCTGCATGTTAAATAATACTATGTAGACAAAAAGAAAACATTTCTGTGATACAGTTAAATGAGCATATCAGGAAAATTGTCATGAATCATTGTTGTAAAGATTAATATTAACTGCTCATTCAAGTGATGCTTGTTACGGAGCAGGACTCAGGTCAGAGATAATCAGGACAAATTGGGGGATGACCTCGCCATTGTGTATCTGAGCGCCCCATGGGTTGGAATATAGATAGTTCTCATCCTTTCTGAGGAAAAATATAAACTACCTCTGAAGTGTACATCAAAAATGCTACCCAATAAACACAACAAAAAAGGAGAAAGGTAGTCATAAGGCCAGAGAAGGGTCGAGTGTGTCAATTTATCAACAGGGAATAATTGCTCAGGGAAATGTCCGTCCCCTGCCTTGAGCTATATAGCTGAATAGTCCTGGTAATAATAATAATAATTCATTTATTTTATATAGGCGCCTTTCAAGGCTCTCAAGGTTGCCATACAAACACATAAAAAACAAGATACACAATAGATAACACCAGCATAAGAAACATAAACAAGACAATGACAATGCAGTATATAAATCAATCAAATGACCAAATAAATAAAAACAGAGGATGTGTGATGGATAATGATCAGGGTGGCTATGCGAGTGTGAAGAGATATGTTTTGAAGCGTGATTTGAAAATGGGGAGAGATTCAGTGTTGTCAGGTGGGAGGGGGTTCCAGAGGGGTCTTTGTGAAACTCAAGAAGCGATGCCATGAGCACACCATGCTGCACTGTAGTACTTCCTAACATACTGTAAGTGTTCTATTTGGTTACTATTTATTTTTGGGAGTTGCATTTTAATATGTATATATTTATTATTCAAGAAGGGTATCGTGACTGGGTGATTGTAAAACCTCAAAACTCTTCCCAAGCAAAATCTTTCATTCAGAAAGTGAACTTCTTTGAAGTCAGTCTTGGAAAATCATCAGAAGATTCTCTGCTCTGTGACTTAATGAAGTTAAGCACACACCGAGTTTTTCCTGGCATATAGAAATGCAAACTCTACATATATCCTTTCAACAACATAGTCCCTTATCAGTGTAACCTTAACCGCGTGATCATCCACAGTCTGTGTGTAAAAGGACACACTCTTACTTTAACTTTGAACATACACTTTGACGTGAGCTCCTGTGTTACTCACTCTCACTGTGTTGTTAGAGTGGTGCATGAATGAGTCTAAACCCGGGAATGAGTTGGCATTTTAGATCTTCTCATTTCCCAAGTCAAGAAGTCAATGGTTTTTTGAACAGCTTTTTTCTTAGAAGCCTGAAATAAATTCTATGGGCAGCACCAGCTTATGACATTTTTACGTTTAGTTTCTGTTGAATTTCTGAAGCTTTTACATGTCTTTGAAACTGCGGTTGATAACAAGTGGCTGAATGAAACTATTAAATGTCATCGAGCTGAACGCAAGTCCGCCTTTAGCTTAGCGGTGTTGACGTGTAGTTTGTTTATAGAAATACGCTAGCTTTTTTCACTTTTGCATTTACGCTTTTATAAAAGTGGTGTTAATTTTTGGAGATTATCCCGCTGAACAAAAGCTTTGATTGTCAGAAGTTGCCATAGATTTTAATTACTGCAATTTTCTCAAATCCAATGAAACAAACGTATTGCTTTTTGTCGAGGAATCCCCTGCAAAGTTAACTTTCAGGTCGGCCTTCAAAATTATGTCATCCTTGCACAGCTCTATATTGGTCGAGCAAAGGATAACAGCTGTTTTAGCCACACTACTCACACCCAGTGAAAATATAAGCTTGGTAAGGCTCTTCTGCCTTTCACTTTAATTAGAATACCAATTCTGATTCACACAGTGCAGCAAAGCATGTTATCACACGCTGTCTTCCGTCATTGTTTTTCTTTCAGTTTTGAAAGTTTATGGGATGTTCCTGGATTGTGTTTTTTTGCAGGGTTTTAAGTAAGCACTGAAGGTGCCTCGGTCTCTAGCTCTTGAGTGGTTGTGAAGTGTTTGTGACATCTGCTAAACCAACACCCTCTGTAATGGCCTGGCAGGCTATGAACATACACGTGTACACACACTTTCACACACTTGCGAGAGAGCGACTTCAGACTAGTTGTATGGATGTTGACAGAGCTGTTAAGGCGATGAAGATTACTGCCGCCTAACACTAAAGAGGTGTCATCCAGATACTGATAAAAGGCAGACTGTGGTGGACTAGTTGTCTGTCTGCATACGTGTTGAGATAATATACCTGCTTGGAAGAAAAAGTGTCCGCAGTTTTTGTAATACAGCTACCAAACTGCACGTTTTTTTGCTAGCAATGCATTCATGCGATCACCTGTTACCTCCCAAACTAAGTTCTTCACTCTTTTCTTCAGGAACACAACTATTTAAAAAAATTGACAGAACATCATAACAAAATGGGTAATTTCAGGGAACTATACGCCAACAGATTGCTATCTTTATTTTCTTACAGGATTGTAAAAATGCTGGAATTCTGACTTTATAATGGGAAGTAACTCACGGCTAAGACTTTCTGCAGTGATGATATCAGCATTTTAATATTTTCGTAAATTGTACCTTCCATTTGTTTGTTGCTCATACTTGCCTTACATATTTTCTTTAGTTATACACAGGTTGTCTTTTTCAGAATGTTGTGGTCATAACAGTTTGACAGAAAATAAGGAATAATTGACGTTGGTTATGAAATTCTGAAAAGTATTTCAAATCTGCATCTTGCCCTCATCGGCGGGACAGTATCTTTAAATGTTGCAACAGTCAGTGTTACATTAAAAACCAATTTAAATGTAATGATAAATAATACTGATTGGACCTGTAACCCACTTTCCTTTAATTCAATTTCATTCCAGATTTTAGTTCAGTTCTGTGAACATTTAATTATAACAATTGACCAATCCAACATACCTAATTCCAAATAACATGGAGGACACAGCATTGCATGACATTGAGCTGACCTTTTAATCCGAAGCGGCGTCCATATGCTTTTAGAACCATGCCTACAGTAGCAATTTTTTGGTGTGTAACTATTGCCTCAAATATGCAAACAGGGCCACATTCGCTATATTTAGACACCTAGCAAATCATTTGACAATATATAAAGAGACAAGTTGCAACATCCTCACGTCGCTTCACCTGTACCTTTTATCAGGTCAGCTGACAGTGAGTGCGATCCTGAGATGCGTCACATAAAAAGTAAAATATAGTTATTTTTTGAAGCAACACTATAAGTTGTGTTGCATCGTTCTAGCTTCATGTACTCTTAAGGTTTTAGTGCAGCGTTTTATTAAAGCCCATAAACGAGCACCTGTTACCGTCCGATCCCCGAAGCACCTGCTGCCTCCAGACCTCCAATATGTTCAGCACTGTGTCAGTGAGCACACTCACTTGTGAATATGCCCTAGATATCTGTTCACAGCTTATGGTATTACATTTGAGAGATTAAAACAGAAGAGCAGACACTGTGTTTCCACAAAAACATCCAAGCCACAAATGAAATGAATATAATGAATAACCGTGGGCAGGGAAAACAACTTTGAAAAAGCAATTTGGCATATTGCATACGCCGTGCCACTAATGTAATGGTGGGTATGTTTTTGATGGCAGTGGATGTCACACAGAGCCATGTAAGGCGAGGATGAGCAGTGGGGTAATGCACAATAACCCGGCGCATTAACCTCTGGCCCCCCCCTCTTCCTTTTTAATCCAGCAAATTCCATTATTCTCCCTCCCAGATCCATTTGCCTTTACAGGAATCCTCCCCTTCTGCCAACCGCCTTTTATTCCTGCTATCAGTGCTGGTAAAACCTGCCCGTGTCTCCAGTGTTAATCTACCACTACTGGGTTTCAAGCACTTTGAATAAAAACACAGCTGCAAATCCGCCACTTTGGAAAGGCTACTAATTGCACAAAAGAGCGATCATCCCCTCGGATGGTCTAAAAAACTTCAAACAACTAGATTAAAGCACAAGTAAAGTGATAATGCATGTTTCGCTGTAATTTAACGCATAAAAGAATAACAGCACAGCACAACAGACATTCTGCGCTCAAACAATGTGCCAGTACACACGCTAGACACAGGCCACTGACCTCATATATCTGCGTCATTGCATATGAACACATGAAGCTTAAGCCAGATTGGACAGACACAAGCAGATATCCATTTAAATGATTTAAACAGAAATGCTTTAAAATCCTCTTTAATATGACAACCTTTAGTGTTTATCCTTAAATGTCTATACTAAGCTTGTGCACATGTGCTGGAATGCACTTGTTACACTTGATCGGTATAGTGGGTTGATGAAGAGAAGTTATAGAAAAAACAAACACTCAAAGCACTTGCGTTGATCATTAACTGTAAAACCATTAACACTTGAACAGCTTTTGTGTTTTATTTCTTTCCTTGTGTGATTGAGTAATTTTGGAGTAGTGCAGTGAGGATGTATTTTTGTAGGCAGACCCAGAATTTAACTATTAGATATCAGTATATTGCAGTAAAGTAAACTTTTTCGCCAATAAAAGTTAATGTTACTTTTAGTCACGTTTAGCAGGATAATCTCGACACATTAACCCTACTTAGTGATTTTTGACGCCTAATGCAATCATCAGAAATGAAAAGCTAACGTAATACTATAAACTATATAACTATAACTATATAACTATAACTATATAACTATATATAACTATATACTATAAACTGAACTAACATCTCTGTTAACCACCTTTGCTTTCTCACTGTCTCCATCCCCACCAACTCATAAAGCTGGCAATGTCCTTGATCTCATATTCTCAAGGAACTCCTCTACTTCTAACCTCTCTGTAAACCCGCTCCACACCTCCGATCACTNCTGGCAGAATACATTTTAATAAATCCAACAGGCCACCAAACGGTTTGCACCTCACTCGTATAAATGCATTCTGAATGCTATTTTCTTCCATGCTGTGACACTCTTGTCACAGCATGGAAGAAAATAGCATTCAGAATGCATTTATACGAGTGAGGTGCAAACCGTTTGGTGGCCTGTTGGATTTATTAAAATGTATTCTGCCAGACGAGTGCAAGACAAACTACTGAAAAGAGCCTTCTGTGTTAACAAAATGAAAACCATTGATATTGTCTTAAACAAAATTATTATCTGATCCCATTTAGCCGAGTTAAAGTAATCCTTGTTGGTGCGGACGCATATTAAACCCTGTGTGTGTGTGTGTGTGTGTGTGTGTGTGTGTGTGTGTGTGTGTGTGTGTGTGTGTGTGTGTGTGTGTGTGTGTGTGTGTGTATTATTTTGTACTGATTGACGTCTGGGATTCACATTGTTTCGGGTTATCAGGTCGTTGAAAATGTAACGACAGCTCTTTTAACAACATTTCTCCACAATCATGAAGGAATTTAGAATATTATATTTTTTAGATGTATTATAATAAATGCATTTTAAACAATCCCATCCCCCCAGTTGAGACCATACAGACCCTCTGAACATCTTGCAGACTGCTTTCGGATGTCTTGAGATTTTCCTCTTACACCTGTATCGACTCTCTGGAAAATCACCTCTATTTAAAAGTTCCTCAATTTTCCTCCTGCTGAACTTCTTCATACACACTGGCTTCTTTACAATCGTTGGGCGTGTGCCAGAGTATTTGCACACAGCAGCTGCCCTTAAATAAATATATATATACTGTATAGAGAGAGAGGTTAAGGAGTTATCTGTGCTAATAATAAACTACGCCCATTACTCTGTCTGCACACGCTTCTTTAAATGGCCTCCAACAACTAAAACAACAAAGTGATATATATTTGGACTTTATTAAGGAAGGACTTTTTTAAAGAAGGATTCAAGTAGGAGGAGGGAGTGAGTGAGTACATACAAGAGGGAAAAGACTAAAAAGCAGCATGAAATCTGAAATAAAAATCAAAGAAATTAGAACAATTTGCAAGATGCAGTAACTCCGGTCCGCCACTGGAGGTCCTCTTTGTTTTAGTTAAAGCTCATTAACTTGAGTCTCATTAAAGAGCACTTTGAGGTGGTGCGTTCAAGGAACCCTGGGACAAATCATGCATGACAAATGTGCTCTGTACTAATACTTAATGTTTGTTATATTAATTTCAGGCCATAAACTCGTACCAGTACGACTCTGTGACGCGGCGTCTCCTGAACCAGCTCAGCTTCTACATCATGCCGGTGTTTAATGTGGACGGGTATCACTTCAGCTGGACCACGGTACTGTAGGGCCTCAATACATGCTAACAGCCTTATGTCAACTCACTGTAGGTCCACTCACTCTGCACTTTGGCTACTTTATTCATTGGGGTTATTATCCTGTTTTAAAATGAATTCAATATTACCTTTATGATGGAAGTAGAAGTTACCCGGCAACAGGTTCCTTCACCTGATTTAAAAAAATAAATGTGGTAGTGTATTTAATATTTTGTGACCGATTGGATCAGAGTGTAATAAAAACACAATGTGCTGTTTGTCATGATGCAGCCCTTTCCTCTGTACACACTAACGCCTCTCTAACATCAGTTGAGTCGACAGGAAGCTCCACTTACTGAACAAGACCTTCACTTCCTGTGTTTCCTTCAGGATCGGTTCTGGAGGAAAACCCGGTCTAAGAACCACAAGTTCCACTGCAGAGGAACGGACGCCAACAGGAACTGGAAGGTGAAGTGGTGCGGTGAGTTCAATGACCCTCAGCTGCATAGGAGATCTGAGCATTTACTGCAGGTGGAGTTCTTCACACTGTCTATTCTAATAGAAATGTATGTTTTAGGATAAAGCCCTTGAGATGCAGACAAAAGCAACGTCTCACAGACAGACATGAACAAAATAACAGAAAGCAGAGCATGACAAACAAGGACAAACCACGTACAGTCTGTTCAATTCATGGAGTAATAAATCAAATCATTACAGTTTGAGATCACTTTCATCAATAACAAGAGCAGCTGAAAGTGAGATGATGACAGGGATCTGATAGCAGTCTATTCTATTAGAAAGCTGCAGATCCTTCAGAGTCCTCACTAACACATGTCTTAATGCTCTTAATGTTTTATCTGTGAATTGCCTTGTGTTGAAAGGTGCTATATAAATAAATCCCCCCAGAGGAAGGTGCCTCTTCCCACACTCTCCTCATAGCCTTCTGAAGCACCTTGAGATGACATTGTTTTTAAAGTGTGCTGTCTAAATGAAATGTATTCTTATTATAGAGGAAGGAGCCTCTTCTCACCCGTGTGACGACACGTACTGCGGACCCTTCCCTGAGTCTGAGCCCGAGGTGAAAGCCGTGGCAAAGTTCCTGAGGAAGAACAGGAAGAGGGTGAAAGCGTACATCTCAATCCACGCCTACGCTCAGATGCTGCTCTACCCGTACTCATACAAGTACGCAACTATACCCAACTTCAGCTGCGTGGTGAGGAAGAAGAAACATTATCTGCAAGAGTTTTATGATAAAGTGCTATAAGTGTTCAAAGCTAGGTGCAAAGGCCCGTAAACGTCCTTATGAGACGGTGTTAGCAGTATGTGTTCATGAGACTTTAAAAGAGTTCATAATCCTGTTAGTTCTGAGATTATAAAACAAACATGAATAAACGCCTTTGTTAGTACTTGTGTCATTGTGCAACCTTTCTAAGTTACGCTGCTGCTTTATTCACTTCAGCTGCGTGGTAAAGAATAAAAACCCATCATCTACAAGTGTTTTCTGTAAAGCTTCACATTAAAGTGCTTCCAATAAGTGTTCATAACTAGGTGCAAATGTCCTTATGTGACAGGTGTTAGCAGTATGTGTTAATATAAGTTATTCTGCTGCTTTATAAAGATGACATAATGATTGTTTGAATGCAACAGTTAGCTATGTATATAGTATGATGAAAGACTTACTTAGATATACAATGTTTGATCAATTAAGCACAAAAACACACTTTATAAAACACATAAATAGCAGCTGGATTTCAACGAATATAAAGACTTCTATAGTAACCTGACCTAATGCCATTATTAGTACAATTACAGTATATTTCAAAATTAAATTAAATGAGTATATAGTCCTATTAGTACATAATAATGTCAATAAGCCTCTCATAGGACCGTATTACCTGTGCACACTCAGTTAGCTACGCTTTCTGCAGATGCACATCTCAAAGGAACACTACCAGGTTGATATAGTATGATTAAAGATGTACTTATAAATACAATATGTTATCAATTAAGCACAAATAGCAGCTGCATGCAGACACAAATAAAGGGTTGTATACTAAACAGGCTAAAACTGGCCTAATAGCACAATTATTAATATATTTACAGCATATGTTTACATTAATGTACATTGTTTATCATCTTGTTGATGTATAATAATGTCAATAAGCCTCTTATAGGACCTTATTACCTGTAAACTAACCTTTATTACAAAGACTTTCATCTCAATTGGCTGCAGGGCTATGTGTTGGGTTTACTACTGTGCAGAAATACAGATTTAAAGCTTGTTTAATGATTTATGTTCTGCTCTGTGTGCAGGAATCAGCGGCTCACAGTGCAGTCAGCGCTCTCTACTCTGCGTACGGAGTCCGGTATCGGTACGGCCCCGCCTCCACCACCCTCTGTGAGTAAAGTACTTCATACATCACAAAGTTAGGGTGCCATGTTGCACCACCAGGAAAGACCACAGGTCATTGTGCATGCAGTGAAGAAGGGAGAAGGGCCAGTTTAATATACATGCATCACCAATTTACCCCTGAACACATGACGTGTACCTATTATACGATACGATAATACTTTAATGGTGAAGTTCAACTGATCCTCCTGCATATTGGGAAGTAGGGAGAAGGGCCAGTTTGTGGGTGGGAAATACATATATATAAATCATCCTTTTGTGGTGAAATATAACTTTAAGACATAGTGTACTTACATTTCTGGATTCAGTGACCACTAGAGACATTTTTATAAACCAAACTACAGTCCTGATCTTGTATTTCTCTGTGTTTCTCCCACAGATGTGAGTTCTGGCAGCTCCATCGACTGGGCCTACAGGAACGGAATCTCGTACGCCTTCGCCTTCGAGCTTCGGGACACAGGATACTACGGCTTCCTGCTGCCGGAGTCTCTGATCAGCCCCACCTGCACAGAGACGCTGAGAGCCGTCAAGGCCATCGCATCGGGGCTGCTGAAGAAGTGTGAGGTGGACAAGGACACGTTTCCATACATATGAGCTCCGAAACTACTCTTTTTCATACCAGAGATAATTAGGGATCATCGAGGGAGAGCAGAGATCCATTAGAAACCATGAGAGATCATCAGAAACCATCAGAGACCATCGGAGACCGTCAGAGACCATCAGAGACATCAGAGATCATCAGAAACCATCAGAGACCATCAGAGATCATCAGAAACCATCAGAGACATCAGAGATCATCAGAGACCATCAGAAACCATCAGAGATCATCAGAGACCATCAGAGATCATCAGAAACCATCAGAGACCATCAGAGACCACCCGAGATCATCAGAAACCATCAGAGACCATCAGAGATCATCAGAGACCATCAAAGACCATCGGAGACCATCGGAGACCATCATAAACCATCAGAAACCATCAGAGACCATCAGAGATCATCAGAAACCATCAGAGACCATCAGAGATCATCAGAGACCATCGGAGACCATCGGAGACCATCGGAAACCATCGGAGATCGTCGTAGATCGTGGGAAACCATCGGAGACCATCAGAGACCATCAGAGACCATCAGAGACCATCAGGACACCATCAGAGACCGTCAGAGACCATCAGGGGAAAGAAGAGGAAGATTAGCTTTTCACTGGTTTGAGATTTAACGCCTTATTCCCATTTTCTGGTGCCAAAAATCCCCATAAGTCCTGTGAGTTTAGACCATTAACTGTAACCCTTAGACACAATAATATCCCAAATAGTCCTGGATCATGAAATCCTCCACCGAAGTCTTTACTGATCTCCTCTAAATAGATATTAAAGAGCATCTTTTTTTTCTACATTTATTCTTGAAAATTACAATTAAAAAAGTGAATGTAGGATTTGATATGTTTTACGAAACATAAGGGCAGGAATTCAGAGGGAAAGGAGCAATTTTGAGCTCTGCAACGGCTTTTTTTTAAGTTCATACGTCAAACGCGTCATATTACATAACACAGGGGACACATCTCCCTCTCTGACCGCGGGTATAGTTAGTAGTTGCGTTGAGTTGAGCGGTTGTGTTTTAGTGAGCTGGTATTTTTCGGTAGTTTTACATTGTATTTCACCATTTGTAATCATGGTGCAGTATTGTGTTTGTGCAGGTTGCACAAATACCAGCCTGTCAGGACATCGAGTCCACAGTAAAAAGGAACGGAGCTAGCGTTGGTTCGTGGGTGCGTTGTGCATCC